CAGCCGTTGTCTCATCTCGAATGAAAAAGAGTGCAACATGGTGCAGCTAAAATGAACACACCTGCCGTGTGTCCCCACACCACAGTCCCAATACTGAATACTCCCGGTCCCAGCACTCCACAGCACTTCACGGCACTCCCAACGTCACAGCGGGTAAAGCAAGTTGAGTGAAGGACCAGGGGAGTCGGGACTGTCGGGAGAGGAAGGAAGGAAAGAGGAAGATCATTCGGAGCATCGCGCATCCGCGTCGTAATCAGTCGTAAATGTCATAATGCTGTCGGAGCGAGCACTAATGTAGCAACGAATAATTATATGATGTACCAGCACTACAAGCACGCGCGGAACGTCATATGAGTTGCCGCAGACAGCGTCTTGATTTTAACCTAATTTCGTTCATACCTGTTTTCCGAAGGAATCTCAGGTGGGTTTGCCTCTTTAGCGCGCGACAAGAACGCACCGGCCCCTGTCGAGAATCACCGCGCTATCTTGCACGCGGGTTCGCTCTCGTCGCCCTTGCGTCATATAATTTCATTTTTTTTGATTGTTTGATTATTCGATTTAAAGAATAGGGAGTTTTTGCAATAACGTGGATCCAGATACGTGAACGCTAAAGTTACGTTATCCTTTTCTTAATTAAATAATTGTTAAGATTAAGATGACGTGACCTTAGCGTTTACCGTATCTGGATAAACAGTATTGCAAAAACTCTCTAATAAGTTACACGTAGAAACGGACTGCGCAATGCATATGTGGTGTGAAATTAAGATACCGTTAAGTACGATACTCCGGGACATCGTTATATCGAAAAGTTTGTATCACTCAATATTTATCTTTTTCTTCTTATGTTGACTGATCAACGTGTAGGAGACAAAGTCTAAAAGTTACTTTTACTAAGATATATTATTAAGATATATAAGATATATTATTAGGACGTTTGTTCAATGCATCTAACTTGCAACTCCTAGCCTTAGCGTTTTTCCTTCTTTATAGATTCCTTGAGGTTTTATTACTTCAGCATTCAAGTGATATGTTGTGTTTTTTTTTTAATAGTACTATACATGAAACATGATGTCTAACGGCGGCATTCAGAATCCGACTGAGCAAATTGAAGATACCTCAATGGGGAATAATCTACATCACTCATCCTCGATATTATCGCCATCGCCATCGTCGGCCTTGAATTCTCCCCTCATGAAGCTATCTTCGTACTTCCTAGCAGTGCGACCATGGTCGCTGAGCGCGTCGTTGATGCCGACGCTTCTTGGATCAGCGCTTGCATATCGACTACCAGGCCTGGCGAGCTTCAATTGGATATCGCTATGCCTTACCGTGCTCATAGTGGTTTGTGTGCATGGTGCTGGTAATGTAGTGAACACTTATTTTGACTATGTGAAAGGTGTTGATAGTAGGAAAAGCGACGACAGAATACTGGTAGATGAGTTACTGTCCAAAGATGAATTGGTCACATTGGGGGCATTCCTATACGCAGCAGGATGTTTGGGATTTGTCTTACTGACAGTCATCTCTCCCGCAAAGATGGAACATTTGGCTCTTGTGTATTTCGGAGGTTTATCCTCCTCCTTTCTCTATACAGGAGGTATAGGATTGAAATATATCGCTCTGGGCGATGTACTTATCTTAATTATATTCGGTCCAATCTCAGTTTTATTTGCGTTTATGGCGCAAACCGGTTACGTTGAACTAGGAACAATTTATTACGCGATACCGCTTGCCTTGAATACCGAGGCTATTTTGCACAGTAACAACACGAGAGATATGGAAAGTGACGAGAAAGCAGGAATCGTGACGCTAGCTATTTTAATAGGTCATACCGCGTCTCACGTTTTGTATGCTTTTTTACTGTTTACACCGTATATAATTCTTATAGTAGTGGCGTTTAGATATTCCCTCTGGTTTGTACTGCCAGTGGTCACTTTGCCGACTGCCTTTAAAATAGAAAAGGACTTTCGCAATCCGCATAGAATTCAAAACGTGCCTAAACGGACAGCTGGATTAAATTCATTTCTAGGTATTTTATATGTTCTCGCTTGTTTACTCGTGAGCTCGCTTCCTTATCTATAAATTATTCATGAGGCTTTTGTGCATCATTGTCCTGGATTACTCTTTCTATTCTGTTGATATTGTTTTCAGTGAGATTTCATCCAGACTTGTAATTAAAAGTATAACTTTCCAACGAGGGGAGGAAAAGTTTAAAACACATGAGTTGTTTTATTCATTTTCATATATCAATTACGTTCTATATAACTTTGCGCCATCTCGTAACATAATCCAAATGTGATTATGTTATTATCTGCAAGGGTAATCCAAGACTGACATTTTTGATTAAGTTAGACTTTATCAATAAATAAATATATATATATATACACAGGGTTGGCAAGTAACGCGTCACTTGTAACGCCGTTATTTTGTTGATCGTTGTTATAATAACGTGTTGTTATAATAACTTGTTATAATAACGATTTGGTAATGACATTGTGAATTTTTTATGATGGTAATGCTAACATCAGAGTTAGAAAAGTCAATCGTTACTTGTAATGAATTGAAAAAGTCATTCGTTACTGAAAAAAAAACTCCTAATTTGTAACGCGTTACTTTTTAGTAACGAGTAACGTTATGCGTTAGGGCCCTGGCACACAAAAAACTTAAGGCAGTAAGACGTAAGCAGTAAGGAAATCAACATGTTGGATTCGCTACTGCTTTAATATTATGGCTTTATGGACTCTACTGTGATTGGTCAATTCGCTTACTGTTTACGTTTTACTGCTTAAGTTTTTTTGTGTGCCATGGCCCTTACTCGTTATACTTATATTGACTTTTTCAGTGTAACGCGTAATAGTGACAAGTTACTTTTCAAAGTGACTTCTCTAACTTTAATACAACCTTAGCGTTTAATTAGTTAGCATCATAAAAGATTGCAACATCGTCATCAAATTGTTTACTATAAAAAGTAACTGAATGACAAAGTAACTGAAAAGTAACATTTGCCAACCCTGCATATATATCGGCAGCTTATTGTTAACTAATATTCAATAATTTTAAAATTTCGAAATCTCTGAGCCGTTACAAATTATGCAATCAACAAATTATATAGCACAAGTAAAAGAAATATATGACTCATTTATTGAAGATATTTATGTTATATTCGCCTCATTATAAATTAATTCATACCAATTTCAAAATGTTTATCACAAAATTAGATCTTTGTGGCTTGATCTTGAATATTATTTTATACTGCGTATATATTGTCACATCTTGTAATAAAATATCATTCTCGCGGATATTAGGATTTGGAAAACGTACGTGTGTGTGTGTGTATATATATATATATATATTCCTTGTTTATGTCTTTTCTCATTTTTATTTAAAAGTAAATTAAATCTTTTATATGAATCCCTTAGAATTAAACTTGTTGAAACACATAGATCTTTTGTGTATTTATTTTAAAATAGATATATCTTAAGAAATATGTTTGTCAATACGCGTTTGTCTATGTATTCTGTTACGAAGGAGATATGCCCATGTATTTTATTATGAAAATACTGATCTATGTTAGCACATTATTTACGTTGTAACTTACGTGCATAATAATTTTAACAGCGATATCTCAGGAGCATCACAATGTCATATACGACGCGTATGTGTATCTTACATTACATAATATGTTATATTTTCAATAACATATTATGTTTAACTTAATCATTTATTTTTACTGAATAAATTAAATTTTTCTTCTTCCAATGGTTCGAATATTTATCGTGACATAATATACTTCCCGCATAATCTTTTAGATATATCATAGAACAATTGACATAATGTTTGAAATACTCTGTAAGAGACTCTTATAGTTGTTATATTTATTTCATAAATAGACTCGAATTAGGAATAAATCAAAAACATAGCCGAACCAAATAAAAATATATAACTCGCTACGCGTGGATCTATTCCGATTAAGTCCGATTAAGATCTACATCGATTAATGATGAAATATAAAAGAACTGTAAATGTATTCTGTGAGTGACAAAATTAAAAATCTTGGTAATCAAGAGTCATCGTAACATTAATTTATACATTTGAGGTTTTATATAATTATACATTCGAAAATTGTTATACAAAATTTTTTACAAGAAAGCAAAATACGTATTATATTCTGTATATAATGTCACAAAGTCTTGTATTATAGCATCATTTGATCTCAATTCATCGATAAATTTTATTAAAAGTTTTCGTATAAAATAATGTATCCTATATTTTAAATATATCTCTCTTTGAAGGCGCATACATGTCTGGATTCATCACGTATATAATAAAATTATATGATGGAAGGAGGCGGGAACGGAACAAGTAATACAAGATAAAGAGAGATATATGAATATGGGAAAAGAAAATTTGTGACTAATTTAATAAATGAATTTAATATGTATTCATTGCACTAATTCTTTCAGAATATTCATCATTTCTGAATAAGTTTCTCTTTCTTATTTTCTCTATGAGAATTTAACTATGTTGTGAATGTACAATATCAAACGACAATACTTTTAAGACCGTGGAAAAGCGTTTTGTTAAAAATATATATTTTCCGAACCATATAATTCTACGAATTACATATTGTGTGTGTATATGTATATATATATATATATACACACATACATATATATACATATATGAAACAATTACGTTACGAAAAATAAATTAATGACTAGCTCTATTTTTATGATTCTTATAATATATGAACAACTTAATAACATTTAAGTAAGATCGTAGCAGCGATTTCACACATACCTTATGTATAAATATATTTTAAATGTTATACATATCGAGATATATTTAACTGGAAAACATTGTTTCAAAAGTAAATCGTCGCATGTCAATGTATAAATATAAAGCATGTTGTACATAACGTGTATAATAATATAAAATGACAAAAGATATTATTAAAAAATATGTCATATGGTTAAATGGGGAAAACTTATACGCCTTCCTCTGTTAGGTTTATCTCATCAAGTAAAGCATTCTTTAGCCTGTCTTCCAATAATGCGTTTTCTAATTGTTGCTCCTGCAAGCGGTTCTCTACCTCGATGGACACAGAATGCACCTCCATGACACAAGTTTTAGTGCTCTCGCAAAACTCCGCTAGTAAACTAAATTCTTCATCTAATACGCTGTCATCCAAATTGTTTTCCGATTTATCGAGTCTCTTTCGCTTTCTCGTCGGTTCATTTAACATGATATTATTATCCGAGCTTGATTCGTGCAACATGAATTCTGTCAATACGTTGGATTTGAACCACCACGGTAATGTCTGAAAATGCTTGATGTGATTTCTGTTGTAAATGACCGTTTGATCTTCGTCCAGAAGACGTATCTTCTCTTTTATCATATATAGTAATATGTGTACGAAATTGGATAATTGTAAACTGCCCGAGGTGAGGAATAAGTTGCTCAATATATCGTAAAAAATAATATTATAGTTCGAATCGGACAACACCTCCCTGCAATAATTCATAATATGTCGTCGCAGATCTTGTATGTCTGTTATTGGCCACGGTGCACTGAAATAAGAAAATAAACGACGTAAATAACGAAATATTGAAAATATACAACTATCACGCGTGTATGCTTTATTATATAGGTATAGATATGTTAATATAATTAATAATTAATACATTGATCTATATCAATACTTACTTCCACGGTGGTAGTACAAAACTATTCATCGCGGTCTCTAATTTTGCTCTGTATTCATCTCGTTTCCATGATTCGTTAAAATATTCGTAACTGCATGGCATGGTGCCGCTGTTTTTGAGAAATTTCTTTAATTCGGGCGCGAAATTTGTATATAACATGGATTCTGGATCTAAGATTATGTCTATCAAGTGATTTACAGCCTCATTGTGCAAATCAATTACAAAGTTTGGGTCCTTTAATGCGTCTGACAATTGTTTATTGTACATAGAATCACCCAGTATCCTGAAGATTATAATAATTAGAAAATATACATATATTAGTATATAATCAAATAAGTAAGTACAAAAATTGTCCTATACCTCAACCATAACTCTTCGGACAAACATATGTCGTATACGTTAAACAGATAATCCATTTCCAGCGGATTCGGTGGTGATTTATTCATCGTCAACCATAAAACTGCGCTTTGCGTCAAATTTAAGATAATTTTCGCAGACAGATTCTCCTCGTACATGATTGTATATTCCGATACGTAGCCAGATTCCAGGAAGGATTCTAAATCTGAGACGATACTATCATTCTGATTCTCCACGTCCCCGTTACCTAAAACGATAAAGGCGAGCGGCATAGGCATTAGCTTGTGCCGCGACAATACGGTCCTCGTTAAACGTTTAGCTACAGATCTGTAATTCTCCGAGGCGTCAGCGATGAATAGAAGTGCGTCGGCACCGATCAAGTGATGTTCACTGATCAGACCTTCGAAATGCCTTATACAGATGTGCAAGGTTTCATAAGGATTCGGCCGATAAATCTTCACGATAGGATCCATTGTAAAATCGTCGGGATTCAAGTATTTATTCATCACCTTCTTGTGATACCACAAGACTGCTTTGTTGGCCAAGTCCGGCCAGGAGATGACGAGTTTCCAGTATACGTTAGGCAAGGATTCGAGGTCCAACGATCGTACGTTCTCCTTGATGCCGATGTGCACGATAATTTCGATAGGCGCAAGACTGCTCTCCGTCGCGCTGACTGCTATGTCTGGCTCTGGTTCGCCTCGTCGTTTACACATATTCTGCATCACCACTTCCTGCTCCTTGGTATACAGCATCCGCGCGGTTTCCTCCACGGAATGCCTCTGCAACCAAACCGGCGTGCCTTCCAACGCCGCTCTTTGCCGCTTCTTTCTCAATACGTACTGCTTCCAGATGTTTACGCATCTGACGATCACTCGATTCTTAATTCGCAGTAACATCGCCTGTAATTTTTTTTGCTGCTCGATCTCCGCGGTCAGTGCTGTATCGCAAATCTCGTGAGTAACTTCGCCGATCATGTCTGAAAGGAATCTCTTGCTCAATGTGTTATACATCTCTATCCTGTCGATGTCCTGTTTCACGATGGTGGAGCAAAACTCGTTCGTGACTTCGGCGTGCAAGCTATTGTAAATCTCTTCTGACTGCTCCTCAATTCGTTGCATTCTCCTCGCGTGCTCCAGCTTCTCTAGCCCAGCTTTCTCAGCCTCCGATATCACTTCCTCCTGGGTCTTCTGTTCCTTTTTCCGGAAGACTTGACTTTGCTCCTTCTTTGTCTTATTCGCAACATCCGTGAACGCTGACTGTTGAACAGAAACTGGTATGGGAAAATGTTT